TCAGGTGTGAAGGGGGAAGTGGAGGAAGTCGCTTTGGGAAACGGCGCTCGCTTCCTCTCCTCGAAAGCAAGACCTAGTTTTCACGGAGGTGGGGTCGTTGCCGTGGGGGTGTGGGGTGTGGGGGTGCGCCTGGTAACTGCCTCTTCCTGCACAGCACCCGCGTGCTAGCGTGTTAACCCCTCCTCCTCCCACCAGGAGCAGCTGGTTCTGGTGGAATTGTCAGGAATTATCGATTCAGACTTTCTCTCAAAATGTGAAAATAAATGCAAGATTTTGGTGAGTCTTCTGGAATTGGGGAGTGGTTGTAGATTTTCATAAATTTAGAACAAGAATGAATGGTGAACTTTGGGGACTGATACATTAATTCCACGTTACAAAGCAGTGAACTCTAAAGACAATCGTAGAGGTACCGGGGACTGTGGGAGCAGGTGGGAGAAGATGCCTAACTCTGCTTGAGTGTCTGGATGTTTGGCTGCAGAGTTGAAGATTTGGAGGAAGTGGCATTTTGATATTTAGAAAAAAATGCATGGTTTTAGATGGTGAGGTGGGAGAGAGGATAATGCGATATGCACACACAGGTGAAATGTGGAGAAGGGAGAGAAGGTACCTACTAAGAAAAGACTTCAAAGACCTCACACTCTGCTGTCTGGAGCTATTGTATTCTACGTTACCACCTGTTTTATCACTTTGCTTTAAAATCTTGGAGCAACTGTTGACCATACTTCTCTGCTCTTAGGCTGACTTGAAGAGCATGTTGACCAAAATAGACCTGTTTCTTGGGTGGTCTTCAGGCTGGAGCTGCGGGGGTCAGAGCAGTGTCAGTTTATCTTGTGCTTGCCAGGACACGAAGGCGTGGGGACCTTTTTTCTGCCAAGGGCCATGTGGATATTTATAACATCATTCGGGGGCCATACAAAATTATCAACTTAAAACTTAGCCTGCTATATTTGGTCAAACATTTCATTAACTCACCCTAAGTCTTGGCAGGGCCAGACCAAATGATTTTGAGGGCCCACCGTCCGGACTTCCCCACCCCTGCTCTTGGTAGCAAAGTTACATGTGGAAGGCTTTTTCTTTCTTTTTTAAAAATTGAGATATAATTAACATGCAACTTTATATTAGTTTCAGGGGTATGACATAATGATTCAGTATTTGTACGTATTGCAAAATAATGATCACCCCCACTAAGTCTAGTTAACATCCGTCATCACACATAGTTATAAATTTTACTTTTTTGTGATGAGAACTTTTAAGATTTATTCTCTTAGCAAGTTTCAAAGATACAATAGAGTATTATTAACTGTAGTCATTAGGCTGTACGTTACATCCCCAGGATTTATTTATTTCATAATTGGAAGTTTGTATCTTTTGACCACCTTCACCCATTTTACCCAACCTCTGAGGCTTTTTCTAATGATTTTTTATGATCCTGTACCTGATGTAGGGAATTGACACTGAGAGGCCCATTCTGCAAGTGGACAGCTATGTATTTGCTGGAGAGTATGAAGGTAGGAGGATGTCAGATAGATGAAACTCCTTTTTAAATATGCTTTTCAGAGAATGTAGCTCTGTTATTTCTTAGCAAGTTATCTTTAAATTTTTCCACAGACACTCTTGGGACCTGTGTTATATTTGAAGAAAATGTTGAACATGGTAAGTGATTACTGTGGTGACTCTTTTTACTACGAAATACTTAAAACATATGTATGTACAGTGAATATTAAAATTAAACATTTTATATACTCATTGTCTAGCTGTATCAGATTCTACCATTTTGCCAGATAGTTAGAAAGCATTCCAGATACTCTTGAAGCCCCTTGTATACCTCTCTCCAAATTTATTCTCTCCCTTCTGTCCTCAGACAATCATTTACCTTAAGTTGGTGTTTCTCTTTCCTATACCTGATTTTATATTACATATGTATGTATGCACAAAAAATAGCATTTTTTGTATAAATTTTATATAAATTTTTACAGACTTTATATAAAGGGTGTCCCAAAATTCATGCAAGAAGTAATTTTGATAGAAAACACAGGTTTATAATTAAAAATAAATTTTTT